TTTTTAACACACAATCTTCCAATAGAAACCTCTCAGTTTAAAGAAAACATTATCAATAACTTAATCCAGTACACACATATTTTCCTCCTTGATAAACCTCAATATCATAGTTTTTTTTTTTTTTGGGTATGATCATCAACATTAATTACCTAGCAAACATCTTCCTTTCAATCTTCTCATTTTTTTAAACCAGTCAAAAGTTGTAAATCCCCTGAGTTTCGAAAATTCCTTCGCGTACACAAAATTTTCCATTGATCAAAATTATTTGCCATTTTTTTTTGTACTCTTAATGCTAAAATGTTCATGAAATTATTATGAAAAACAAATAGAAAACAATTTGATTTAAAATTTAAAATTTCTTAAAAAATTCAATTTCAAAACCTTTTTAAGTTAGCAACCCACACTTCAAAAATATTTTCCTCTGTAAATACAAAGAAACATCAATTTTATAATTTTTTTTACACGCCATGGATAATAATCCCCCCCTTTTTTATCTTCACCCAATCATTAAATAAATTCCCAACAATACCTCAAGTTCGTAGGATATGAAAGATTAAATGTGAAGGAGACGATACTTATTTACATAATACTTTACTTGCAATAGTATACTTTTTTTGCCCTCCATTTTAAAAAAATAGATTTAAAAAATGATAACAAGACCTCATAAAATGTTTATGTTCATATTTCAGATTCAACTTAAAGCTTATTACTTACCACAAGTTTTTGTCTTCATACATTTTTTTTTTCCCTAAATATGGTCATTCAATAAGTTTTATCGTTTTACTTTCTTAAGACTAGGATATTTACTAGATCAATCAATAAATTTATACACTCTTCTAATTGTCATCATACCTTGTTAACGACTAAACATGTTCCTATATAAAAGTTTTCCCCCTCTTATACCAATACCATAAAAATAAAAAGTTCACGTGCCACGTCATTTAACTCTTTCTCTCTCTTGCTGCATATACACACAGAGGATGAAGATGACACACGATGGCAAGGGTTTTGGGTTCGAAACTTCTCACAATCGCCGGTTGATTCGAAGAAATAGGGAGGAGGAATGGAAGAAGAGGAGAAATGGTGAGGTTTTGGACAATGGGTTTCGAACTTTCTCTCTCTCTCTTCTTACTGTTGGTATTGTGTAAATGAGAAAGAAGGAAAAAGGAATCGAAAAAAATATCCTGCTACTGTTTCTATTTTTATTTTATTTATTTTTTTAATAGGGTAAATGAGAAATTTCCTAAAGCAAAATAAAAATAAAAATGCTCCCCAATGCAATAGATATTCGACCCTAAAACTAGAGAAAATTTGTCTGACAAAGGTCCACTAAATCATCACTTCTTTAATCTAAATCATATAAAAATAATATCAAATTTTCTTAACCTTAACTTTTAATTAATTAATTAATTAATTTTTTTATAATTATATGGGACATAATTGGAGCTTGGATTTGAGCTTCCCAACCCTCTGGTAAGTGATTACTGACACTTATCTACCTTCCTCTTCGTTTTAATATGTGGAAATCGAGATTTATTGAAGAAGTTTTCTAGCTTTTAGAGGTGTGTTTAATCTTTTTGGTTAGAAATTTGGGATATTAAAGTTGTAGTATTTAAAATTTTATCTAGTTTGGATTTGATTTGATTTACCATTTTGAACTTAATATTTGGTAGAAAAAGAACTTAATTAGAAGCAAGTAGTGGAATTGTTTTGAAGTGGTCATATGGCTACAATGGAGTAATTTAGATATTGTAACAAATGGAAGAATGTTCTTGGGATGTTGATGTGTATATGTTGTTTTCTGATTGTTATTTGGGCCTCATAGGCATTGTTGAGTTTTCGAGTAGTAGGAGTTTTTACCTCCTAACTTGAAGGGTTGAGGTAACTGATGTTTAATTCTTGTTGTAACATATGCATGCAACATATAGTTTTCACATGTATAAGAGTTTTCAATGATATTTACTTATTGTAATTACTCTTTTTTGGGTATGGAACTACTGATATTGAATTTGTATGAGATTAAGATAATTGAATGAATATGGGTTAAAGAAATGGTATTTGATATATATATATATATATATATATATTGATGTTGATATTGAAATACTTTGGACTTAGAAAATGATTTTGAAAGCTTGAAAAATGATATTTGTAATAAATAATGTCTTGACATTTTAGAAGAATTTTGAGAAGTTATAAATTAGTGTATTAGAGTTGTTTGGATTCAAAGTATGAATAAGAAAGTGGTGTTATGCCTTGTTTTTGTTGAATATGGGAAATACATTTTGTAAACAGTTTTGTACACCTTACCTAGTATCTATGAAATATATTTAGGAAGTGTTTCATCTCCTATTGTTTCATTGATGATGGATTTGGACTATATTTGATGATATAGTGTTTATGGATTATTATTATTATTTTTAAAGTGGGAGGTGATTGTTGTGAAATGATAATTATTGAGGATCATTTATTATCACGTGGTAATTGCTAGCTCTTAAAGTCCATATTCCTATGGTCAGGAAGGGCTATGGTTGCGGCATATCAAACCCATTATTCCTTATCCACCATCCTTAGCCTCAAAGTGGAGAGAGAAAATAAGTAAATGTATTCATCAAACTATGGTAGCTAAATTGTGGAAGGCAGATACAACTTTATAATCCCTCTTTAGAATGTAGAGAACCTTTAGCCAAGGATTGCATAAGAAGGCTACATAGGGACATTTTCTACACTATAGCCTATGAGTTATAAAAGGGGAGTGTTAAGTTAGGGATGAAAAATTGATATAAATCATATATATCAATTATGTGCTGAATTATGAATAGGTAAGCCTGGAAACTTCTTTTTAAAACCATTGCTTGGCCGCTAAAGGTGAAGAACCCTAACTTGAAATTATTTTCCATATATGGTATTTTTGGTAGCATGCACCTCTTTTATAAATTATATTATATTATCATATGCCCATTTAGGTTAGGAATTCTTCTCAATTATTTTGATTTTGAATTTCACCCCTCACTCTAACATTTTTTTTTAGGAGAGAGTTATAGCTCACTTTTTGTGCATGGAGATGAGAACAATTTGGCTAAGGTATATGGGCATTTGATTGCGCTCTCATGTACATGGTTTCTGGCCAAGTGTCCTCTTTAAGTCTATTGCAAAATTATTAGAATGATAATACCTTATGTTTTAGTCAATTGGTGCATGGAGTTGTCTTCTATTACGTCTTGTGGGATTTGTTCATTATAAGGTTGCTTGTTGTAGAGAAAGGCCCTATTTTTGTGATGGGTTGTGTTGGTTAGTTTGTAAGTGGATTTCCTAGTAGCCGAATCTTGATCTAATCTTAATTTTGTGTTTAGCCTTAGAGTTGTATAAATCTTGAATTAGTTTTAATTGATTCTTATAATTATTTTAAGGAGTATTAAATATTTAGGCTTCCAAGATTTCAGGTCAATTTTAGAGAATATAATAAAAAATTTCAAGTGATAAGATTTGAGAACTTGATGCAGGCAAATGATTGGTTAAATTAAAATAAACTTGCTTTGTTGATTCTTTCTCATTCTCTTCTTAACCAAATCTCCATGGTATCATTTCTAACTCCTCTCTTTTTTCGCATTTATTTTTGCACATATTTTTATAGCCCAATTCTTCCCCTTTTGGGTCTCATTTACCTGTGACTAATTTTATCTTAGAAAAATTAGTTATTTAGTTTTTAAATTGTTGACTTAGCTATGATTCTATTTTTCAAATTTAACCTGTCATGATTCGGCATTTTAAGTTTTGTCTCTTTAAAAATTTCATTCTTATAATTAATGCGCTGAGGTAGACCTTACTCATATGTCACAAACATGGTTAACTTTGTTTTTCTTTTTTCTTTTTTTACCAACAACATAGTTAACTCTATTAATTTGTACTTATGTGGTGTCCATGTTAGCAACATCCCATGTTTACCTGGCAACTAATTAAAAGCCTAAAAAAGAGAAAAGGGTAGAAGCAAAACCACATCCAATATGCAGTATTTTTTACAAGATTGTAAAGATGCTAAAGAGGGTTGGAAAAAATTAGTTAATCCTTTCAAATGTAATACTTTTTTCTCTTTTTCTATGCAAGATTGGGTAATTTGAAAAACAAAAAATGAAGCAGGAAGCATATCAACCAGAGTATTGCCCTGAAAGAAACTTTTTGTCCAAATCTACTGGAACATATAGAAAGCAAGATGCAAGAAAGTTTACTCTAAAGATAATACTTTGGACAAAGACATTGCTTTCTCCAGCACCCAACAAATTATAAATGACCTGCAGCTTTAATCCAAACTTGACCGTTTGAATAATTTTAAGACCAGACATGAAGCGAGATGGAAGCCATCAAATCCTGGGTGGGCGAGACTTGATGTTGATGGTTCAGTCAATCATAATGGTGCCGCAGCTTGTAAAGTTCTTATCAAAGATGACAAGGGTAACTGGATTAAAAGATTCTCCAAAAATTTTGGTTACCAACTCAGCACATTTGTTGATCTTATAGGAATTTTAGAAGGACTAAACATTTGTTGAAATGCTATGATGTCTAAAACTAATGTTTGTTCTGATTCTATGGAGGTCATATTCCTCATTAATGGCAGCTTCAACCAAAACCACTCACTCTCAGCAATCATCAGAAATTTCATTATGAGGAAGTGGGAGGTTACTTTTAAAACATGTCTATAAAGAAGATAATTACTGTACTGATCTTTTAACTCACAAGATCTCAAGCGAGTATTTTAATATTACTTTATTTAATGAGGTTCCCATAAATTGTAGAAGTATTATAGCTTTTGATATAATCTGATTCTTTTACATGATGTTTTTATCGTGTTCTTGTATTTAAAAAAAAAAAAATGCAGCGTTTAACTGGTTTTATCTTTTTCTTGGTTTTTTTTAAAGTTTTTCTTTTTTCCTTTTTTATTTTCCAACATCAAATCGATGAATTGACCAAAACAATGTACTCGTATTATTACCCAACGGCGCAACCATTTCTTCAACGTAATATTTAGCAAAGCATGTGGAAGCTGCTAAAAGTCTCAAATCTTCAAGGTCGAGTCCCTCTCCCTCTCAAGCACACTTCTTGTGAGAGGTTCAAGATCCGACCCTTGCCGACGACCACCATGTTCTTCGAATTCCGATCCATTACCTTCTTCCTTCTCCTCCTCTTCGTCTGTCTTTCTCCGGCGTTCGCGTCCGAGTCAGATCACAGGGTAAGTCTTTCTATCTTGTTCATTTCCAAACCATTTCCCTGACCCGTTTGCAGAGTGTGTTCTTTCGGGTTCTACCCGTGGATCTAGTCTTCGTTTGCTATTGGTTCTTCAATTGGGATTGGATCGGTGGCCGTGTGTGGTATCGAGCTGTTAGCTTCGGGATTTTCGCATCGAGTTTTGGGCAAGATCTTGGGGTGAATTTCGGTTGCAACGTTCGTTAGCTTAATTTTTTTTCGCCTTGCGGAAATCTTTTAGGGGTTTGCTTTTCATTTTTATGTAAGTGTGGTATTCAGGTGTTGGATCTCTCGTGGGTTGTGTTCGCTTGCTAGTGTTGATTCTGCACTTGTGTGCACGCAGGCGTCTGTGCAATGTGGATATTAGATGCATATCTATATATCTTTATATGCAATTCTATGATCAATTGACGATCTTGTGTCATTTAGTTGGGTTAGCTGGAAAAGTATTCTGAACTTCTGATAGAAGGTTATCATAAACTTTGTCGAACTTGGCAGCAGCATTGTGCCGGAAAAACAGAAATTTGTGGAGAACTGGGTTTGGAACAATGTCAGCAACCTGCAAACTATGCTGCAGCTCTTAAATATTGGTAGTTCGACAGTCATTTAAGTTAAAAATGAAGCTGTTTGAAACATTTAATAGTAGAGGTGCGAGGAGAACATAATTGGAGCCATAAAAAGGGAATTGAAAGATTAGCGTGGATTGGGAGGCAACAACAAAATATTGGAACGGCAAAAATAAGTTGTTTTGTTTGATTGCTCCAAATCTCAGATTTTAAGCAAGATCTCACTGTTGATCATTGTTAGCTTTTTATCATGTATGCCATATGTGTTGGTTGTTGTCAATATTTTATGATTTGAGCGGACACAGTCATTCTTGCTGATGTTTTATGTTTGGTTAGAAAGGACGTGAGTCCATGATAGGAATGCATTAAAAGCTAAGAAGCACCTAAACTTGCTTTCTGGCCAAGATTTTTCAGTAAATGAGAAAATGAGTTCATATGTTCCATAAACAAGTTAGGAACGTTTCTCAATGTTGCAAAATGTTTTAAACACTTCATATTGAACGCATTTAAATTCATCAAAATGCACAACACATAAAAAGAAGCTATATAATCTATAAAAAAATTTTTTTGGTGAAAATATAATGTGATATTTCTAGTATAATTTCAACATTATTTATGTTCTTTATCACTATTGAATTTATTTCCATATATTTTTTTATTAATGATATCCTATTTTACCATGCTTTACATGAAAATATGTCAATGTTGCCTGTAATCCGAATGTGCACTTAATTTGTAGTATCTAATTGCTCATGGCTTTAAGTTTAACAACTGTATTTTTTCCCTAGTATCAACAAGATGACCCAGTTACCCTTTGGGTGAACAAAGTTGGTCCATATAACAACCCACAAGAGACATACAATTACTACAGCCTACCATTTTGCCGTCCGTCTAATGATCCTACTCACAAATGGGGTGGTCTTGGGGAGGTCCTTGGTGGCAACGAACTCATTGATAGCCAAATTGAGATAAAGTTTCGAAGTATGCAGGCTTATCATATTCTCTCTATTTTATAGGATAGGTTGTCAATTGACAAGCCACCACTGATGGATATTCTTTGTTTTCCCCAGAAAATGTGGATAAAAATACTATTTGCCAGCTGGTTCTTGATGATGCAAAGGTCAAACAGTTCAAGGATGCAATAGAGAACAGCTACTGGTTTGAATTCTTCATGGGTGTGTTTCTTTCTTTCAGATCATTCATTTCATTTCATATTACAAAGAAAAATGGTAGACTGATTGTACTTTTGTTTAGTCATGAAATGTTAGAACCTAGAAGCATGCAGAAGGCTAGCTTTCATGCATTGAGGATAGCAATATATGTTAAAGAATGATCGTGTCAAAATTTAGTTTGCAATTGTAGAGAGGCAATTTAGGTGAACTGTAAGTAAACTAACAGACGGGAGAGTAATCAACTCCCATTTTGGATATGAGTGTTATGCACGCTTATGTTACTTCATTCATATGTGAGAGAAGCTTCAATAAAATGAATTCTAACAGTCCAATAAAAATGAAGCAATGAACCTGACCTGATTCTTGAGGGAGTGAAAATTCAATAATTGATATAAAATATATGGATGGAAAAGAAGTGAAGCTTGTGGCATAACTTGCTTGACTTAAGTTATGGTCATTCTTGCCCTATATTCTTCTGCAAACCAGTAGGATTTCAACAATATCAGAAATTAATATTTCTTGGTCTTTTATTTACATCCAATGGGATATATTCAAGGCCAATTATTGATGTGGTGAGATAGACAAGAAAAACTGCATGTTCACTTATCTTTCATTTAGGATTTTTAAGCATGAATTTAACTGGATTACATACACTTGAGCCTGAAAGAGTGCTTTTGATAGCTTTATTACTAGTGCTAAAAGTTCCATCAAGTTGGGTCTTTATGATATATAATACGCCTTTTATAATCACCAGAACTGAAGGGTTAAGAATCCTTGATGTGAAGTCATTGTTGAAAACTTTTTTAAGAGTGAGTTTACTGATATTTTGATGCTTTCTTTACTATCATAATGATCTGAGTGAGGATTAGCTCTGTAGATTACACCTTATTCCTTTGTTTTGATCTTAATAATTATCAGTTTCCCGTTTCTGTTATTTCTGAATGATGTATCATTGACATTGTTTTTTCCCTTGGTCTTATATTGGTTGGTCTTTCATGCAATAAACACAAGTTCAGATGATCTACCTTTATGGGGTATGTTTTAAACTACCTTGATCTCATTTCATTTATTTTATAATGGTTTCAATTTCAATTTTCAATCATCATTGAAGGTATATTTATTCATGTTTAAGGGTTTGTTGGTGAGCTACATCCTGATAAGAACAGTGATATTGGAAAGCATGTCCTCTATACCCATAAGAAAATTGTGGTAAAATACAACAACGACCAGGTCAGCAGTTAGTATATTGTGTACATGTATTGGTAAGGATTTTTGGGATCCTTGATATTTAGGGCTTTATTCTTGCAGATTATTCATGTGAATCTCACTCAAGAGAGTCCAAAGCCTTTGGAAGCTGGTAGACCTTTAGACATGACATATTCCATCAAATGGATTCCTACGAATATCACTTTTGCACGGCGTTTTGATATCTATCTTGATTACCCTTTCTTTGAGCATCAGGTAGATAATTGGCTTCAGCTTTGTATTAGATTTTGAAGTTGTTGTTATGTCTGTGTTCATCCGCGTGGATCATTTCTTGGTTTTCTCATCAAGATAATCATATTTCTCTGGATTTCTGCAGATCCACTGGTTCTCCATTTTTAACTCTTTCATGATGGTCATCTTCCTTACTGGATTGGTGTCAATGATACTAATGCGAACTTTGAGAAACGACTATGCGAAATATGCACGAGAAGATGATGATTTGGAAACTCTGGTGATGCTTCATTGTTGTTTGCCTGTTATCCTTTATGTTTCATGGATTTTTTTTCCTTGAAGAGTTGTGGTGGCTTGATTGCCTATCTTTGGTTAACATTTACATATTTACAGGAAAGAGATGTTAGCGAAGAATCTGGCTGGAAGCTTGTACATGGTGATGTTTTTCGGCCTCCTCGCAATTTGGTTCTTCTTTCAGCTGTTGTGGGTACGGGTGCTCAGTTAGCAGTGCTGGTTCTTCTTGTCATCTTGTCGGCTATTGTTGGCATGTTGTATGTAGGGTATGTTCATGCCTTCAACATTATTCTGTTCAATGATTTTATTAAGGGTGGTCTGATTTGTGATGTGCACACAACTTTCACAGACAAAGTAGCTGCATGACCTTTGCTGCATGTATTTCACTTCTATGAGAGTTTGCCATGTATGACTGGTAGGCAATATATATTTCTGTGCTTTTGTAGTTAATTTTGTTCAATGTCATTCATGTGTCTCAGGCGAGGATCAATTGTTACAACCTTCATAGTCTGTTATGCTCTCACATCATTCATTTCTGGTTATGTGAACGGTGGAATGTACTCAAGAAATGGAGGTAGTTGTTTGCATTGAAATTGTGTGTTCTCTTCACCTTTGTTGTGGCGCCTTTATCTCTGGCTTCTCCTTTCACATTTCAAATCATCTTAACATTTTTCCTTAAATTATTAGGTAAAAGTTGGATTAAATCCATGATCCTCGCAGCATCTCTGTTCCCATTCATGTGCTTTGGAATTGGTTTTATTTTAAACACAATTGCTATATTCTATGGGTCTCTAGCTGCAATCCCATTTGGCACAATGGTAGTTGTCTTTGTCATATGGGCTTTCATCTCTTTCCCTCTAGCACTTCTTGGCACAGTTGTTGGAAGGAACTGGAGTGGTGCTCCCAACAATCCTTGCCGTGTAAAGACCATTCCTCGTCCCATTCCTGAGAAGAAGTGGTACCTCACGCCATCTGTTGTTTCTCTGATGGGAGGATTGCTTCCCTTTGGCAGCATATTCATTGAGATGTATTTTGTGTTTACATCCTTCTGGAATTACAAGGTGAATTATGATACAGTGCTTTGTTTTGGTGGTACTTGCTTTTTTCTTCTCCATTTACGAAGGTTTAGTTAGAAAGATTATTTTTGCCACATGACTTGTGAGAGCAGAGTAAATAACTGGTCAGTCAGTCAAGAAAATAACAACGACCTTTATGCCATTAGGTGGGGAAGTGAGGAAGTCACTCAAGATAAGATTTCTTCAAATTGTCTTTTAAGTGAACATTCATATATTTGGTGGAAGCTGAGTGAACTTGTATGCAGTGTTGTTAAAGGTGAAAAGTGCACTCAAGGCGCAAGGTGAGAAAGGCACTTGCCTGAGTGAAGCAAGGCGCTTCCATATGAAAATGCATGATGTATAGAAAAGAAATCATAGATAAAGTGATAAATGTAAATTTACTTTAATTTTCATATAAATACTCTGAAAAATTATGTCATATGAAGGAAACAAGATAAAAGTAGCAATCATATTATATATTATGAATAAATACTCAGGGAAATCATAACCAGGCACCAAAAGGTGCTCACCCTGTGCTCGAGAAAGGCATACAAGGTGCCCAAAGGCTACTGCCTTTAACAACACCGCTTGTATGCACTGGTTGTTTCATGTTGTGAACATGGCTTATATCTGTCTCACTTCCATTTCCTTTGTGAAGAACAGGTGTACTATGTCTTTGGCTTCATGCTGCTGGTTTTTCTGATTCTTATCATTGTTACCGTTTGTGTGACAATTGTGGGGGCATACTTCTTGTTAAATGCCGAGAACTACCACTGGCAATGGACTTCTTTCTTTTCAGCCGCCTCAACAGCTGTTTATGTGTACATGTACTCAATATACTACTACCATGTGAAGACCAAGATGTCAGGCTTTTTCCAGACCAGTTTCTATTTTGGATACACCTTGATGTTCTGTCTCGGACTAGGAATCCTTTGTGGTAAGTTCTCTGTCCAAATATTAAGCTTGAATGTAACTGGCTTCAAGATTCAAATCCCTCTCCGAATGTGCAGGAGCTGTCGGTTATCTGGGTTCGAATTTGTTCGTCAGGAGGATTTACAGAAACATTAAATGCGATTAGGGCTTCTTTGGTGAGCCAAGACCTGAGAGCACACTTGCAAGTTTGTTGCTGGAGACAATTTTTTGACGAAGCCAATGGTGACAGGTAGATTCACTGGGATTTGGGTAAATGAGGTGATGTATTCCTTTTTCTGGATTGGGGAAGCCTTGAATATTTTTAACCCCGGACCGAAACTTAGAATGCAGGAATATTATCGTTGTAATCTGAATAGATAGCAAAATATTATAATTTTTGTCTTTCCAAAAAGCAAAAAAGAAAAAGAAAAAAAGACTTGTGTTGCATTTTCATCCCTTTATAATCAGATGCCACATGGAAGCACTGATGTCTGATTCATTCAACCTGAATTACTTGGCTTTAGCTCTCCATTCATCCATGTACGTAGAGGGGATGAAGTCAAGGCTTGGGGTGAGAGATTGGAACATGGACACGGCAAGGATAAGAACAAATATTCTCCGAAGGAAGGAATTTGTACTCTACCTCTTCTAGTGAATAATAAAAACAACGCATAAATATACTTTTTCAAGAAAATTTGGTCAGTATTTCCTTGTGATGTGTCAAGAACAAAATGTAGGAAAGAATGCATTTAATGTTGATATTTTTATTGCTATATATAATATTATTATATTTTCTTTTTTTACTTTATTTTTAATGGAAATTACTTCTTATAAAGAATGTTAATGTTAATGTATTTATTGGTATATAAAACCAAATTTATTGTCAGTTATAAATAGTAGGGGAAGTATAACCATTGGTTCTTATACTTTTAATGTATTTTGGTATTAGTTTTTATATTTTTATTTCGTTGTTCTAAATCTCTTGAATTTCATATGTTTGCAATGATAGTTCTTGTTATCACTGATAAAGTTAAATTTACTAGTGTCTATATGATTCTGTTTAATTTTGCCAGCGAGTTGGTAAAATTATGATGGATTAGACATTATAAGAGTAAAATAACTACTGATCTTTTTGTTTGTTTATCCTAGCTCTGTGTTTTTTTTTTCTTCTGAAATTTCATTCATCACACGTTCAAGAATTCTAATTTGATGTCTACCTCTATTATTTATGTCTTCAATTTATTTCTTATATAGTTCATCATAATTTTAACAAGTTAGTACAAAAAGTAACAGATGGAAAGTTAAGAGACTGGAAACAACAAAATAAAAATATAGCAACTAATGTCAGAACACACTAAAAGTATAAGGACTAGAAATTATATTTTTCCAAAATTAGTATTATCTATTTTTTAGGTTTTGTATCATATGGAAAATCTAGTTAAGTTATAATTTATAGTTATATATGTGTGCGTCCATAGAAAAAAACTACTAGTGTTTTCAAACTTGGACTGGCCTAGATAGCCAGATCATTGGCTGGGGAAGAAAATGATTTGACTCAACTTGTTGGCCTGTTTTTATAATTGACTTTGATTGGCTTATTTTGACTTGAACAACAACAACAACAACAAGCCTTTATCCCACTAGGTGGGGTCGGTTACATAGATTGCAAGATGCCATTGTGTTCTATCATTTATTAAGCTTTTAGAAATATTATTAATTAAGAGATCACGTTCAACAACTTCCAAAAGTGTTCTCTTAGGCCTTCCTCTACCTCTCTTAATCGGACTCAAAGTTATATGTTCCACTCTTCTCACTGGTGCCTCCCTTGGTCTTCTTTGTACATGCCCAAACCATCTCAACCGATTTTCTACCATTTTTTCCTCAATAGGTGCCACCCTCACTTTTTCACGTATGTGCTCATTTCGAATTTTATCTTTACGTGTATGTCCGCACATCCATCGTAACATTCTCATCTCTGCTACTCCAACTTTATGCTCTTGCTGTCTCGTTAGAGCCCAGCATTCACTACTATATAACATTGCCGGTCTGATAGCAGTACGATAAAACTTTTCTTTAAGTTTATTAGGCACCTTACGGTCACAAATAACTCCTTTAGCTTTTCTCCAATTAAACCACCCAACTTGAATTCTATGTGAAATATCTCCACTGATTTCGCCATCATTTTGAATAATGGCTCCCAAATATCTAAACTTTTCCACTTGAGGTATAATTTGATCTCCCAATTTCACTTCCAAATTATTTTCGAATAGTCCTTTATCAAATTTACAATATAAATATTCCGTCTTACTTCTACTCAGACGAAAACCTTTCGACTCCAATGTCCTCCTCCATAACTCAAGTTTGCAATTAACCTCTTCTCTTGTCTCTGCTATAAGAACTATATCATCCGCGAAGAGCATACATTTCGGGATTTCCTCTTGAATATGTTCCGTCAAAACATTTAAAATCAAGTTGAACAAATAAGGACTCAGAGATGATCCCTGATGTAGTCCAATCTTTATAGGAAAATCCTTTATTTGACCACTAGGCGTTCTTATACTAGTTTTTACCCCCTTATACATATCTTGTATGGCTTTAAGATAAGTAATCCGTACTCTCTTTTTTTTCCAACGCTTTCCAAAGCACTTTTCTTGGTATACGGTCATAAGCTTTTTCCAAATCAATAAAAACCATGTGTAGATTTTTATCTTTACAACGATACTTTTCCATTAATCCCCTTAGTAGATAAATCGCCTCCGTAGTTGATCTACCTGGCATAAAACCAAATTGATTCTCAGAAATACTTGTCTCCAATCTCAACCTGTGCTCAATTACTTTCTCCCACAATTTCATTGTGTGGCTCATGAGTTTAATCCCTCTATAGTTAGTACAATTCTGAATATCTCCTTTATTTTTATAAATAGGAATTAATGTACTTCTCCTCTACTCATCAGGCATTTTCTTGGACCGTAAAATCACATTAAATAACTTAGTTAACCATCTCACCCCTTCTTCACCTAAACATTTCCACGCTTCGATAGATATACAATCAGGTCCGTTAGCTCTACCATTTGCCATTTTTTTAAGAGCTTCCTTTACCTCCTTATTACGTATTTTTCGATAGAATGACAAATTTTGTTCTCCTTCACCAGTTACTAAATCCTCCAAGTTACTAGATGAATCCTCTCCATCATTGAAAAGTTTAGAAAAATAAGTCTCCCATCTATTTTTAATTTCATCATCTGTAACTAAAATTCTTCCCTCTTCATCCTTAATACACCTTACCTGTTCTAGATCTCTTGATTTTCTTACCCTACTCTTGGCAATCTTATAAATATTTTGCTCTCCTTCCTTCGTCTCAAGGTTCTTATAAAATTCTTCAAGGTTCTTATTTTGACTTGAACGATTCTTAAAAATTTAAAAAAAAGCTTAGGATTTGAAATGGTTGAATTGTTTTGACTTTTTTTTATTTAAATATTTTTTAATTATTATATTATCTGTTTGATCATTAATTTAATTAATTAAATTATAAAAATCGTGATCCATTGTCTTCTTTAGTTTATTGTTTTATTTAGCTTTTAAAACATTGACAAAAATAGAGAACTAAATTGTATTCAATATTTTCCAAAATTGTCATTTTAAACTTCCTTTTGAGGACTTTTAATATGTTATATTGGATTAATTTTCAATTAAAAAAGTCAATGCTAATTATTTTGGGGCTTCACAATTTAAAATAGATTATAAAATTTAGTTGAGTTACTTTTATATAAATATAAACAAATTATGATTAAAGTATTATCAATAAAGATTGGTTGAGTTGGTAAAAATTTAGGTTATAATTTACAAAATTATATGTTTAAATCTCACTATCAATTAAGATCTTATTAGTAAGTGATTTGTGAGTATTTGGGATTAAAATTTTGGGTGGATGTTTCATTTTCAAAAGCTTCTCTTTAGCTATGTGCCAGTGCCATTGTGCCCTTCCAGTTATGTGAAAGTGAGTGCCTTTGCCATGTCCAAATTAATTTCCTTGGCAGCTAATGCAAGAGAGACAAGGAAGATGTTTTCATGCTTTTGTGAAGATACTAATTTCAAAATATTGTGTAAATTAAGAAAAAGCAAATATTTGTTGTAAATATATTTAAATTTTTTTAAATATTTTCAAAATAAATATATAAGAATATATATTTAACTTTTTATTTGTAATATTTTGTCTATCATGAATAATTTGACCGTCTTTTCATTTTTTTTATTATATTCGTTTATCCAAAGAAATATCATGCGATATATAATTACAAATAGAATTTTTTCCCCCTATCAAACCAATAAAATTTTATTATTTGATGAAATACTGGAAAAATCGAAGCCACTAAAAATAATAAAAAGTCAAAAAGAGTCATCAAAATCAATAAAATTAAAAAATGAAATGCAAATCCATTCACATTAATTGGGGATTCTCAAAAAAACGTGTAAGTTATAAGATGGTGGGAATATCAGACTATTAGTCGCCAGTAGTTAAAATATTAATATATTAAAAATCAAATCACTGTATGCTCTGTGACATATACTTCATTTGTTTAAAAAATATAAAATATTTTTAACTGAATATCACTTTTAATAAAATAGTTATCTACTTTTAAATTAACTCTATCTTTTTATATTTATTTCTATTAAACACCCTATAATAAATATAAATTTATTTATCAATAGGGACACTTTTAAAAAAAATAATAATTATATCTTAAAAGATTAAAAATATCTTATATTTTTAAACATTTAACTTTTAAAAAATGTTTTATATTTTTAAACTGAGGGAGTACATCTTAGTTTTTTTATAAAAACAATAACCAGCGCTGGTGAAAAAAAAAAAAAAAACGCACACACAATAACCAGAAAGTGTGTGAGAATAAGGGAAAAAATAAGATCAAAAAGCTACAGTAGATATGATTTCCTGTTTTCATAACAATTTTTTATATTGATCATTTTATGAAAATTTCAGATGATAAAAAATAAAAATTATATTATTTAATACCTATATTATTAAATAATTTTTTTTGTAAATACCCCTTCTTAAACAAGAGAAATCAGAAAAAATTCAAATTATTTCAATTTAGAGCTATATAAATTTTTCTTTGTAAAAACTGATAAAATTAATTATAGTTCCCACATTTTATGTAATCATTTGACGGCCTTTTAAAATATTTATGATATAATTAATTATGAATTTTTTTGCATTCTTTTATATATTTTGACTCAAATTTAACATTATTCAATGTATTAATTTTCAAAGTGTAAGATCTCGATATTCAGTCTTATATATTTAATGTATTTTTTTCAATTAAATCAAAACATGTGAGTTTTAATATGTTAATAATATTAATAATAAAAATTTGTTTTTACCATAATAATATATAAAAATTTAATTAAAAATAATTATTTTAAATATATAAGACTAATTAGATAAGTTTTTGAAAAAATTAATTTGAAGGTTGATCTAATTTCCTTTGATTTTTAATTAGTTTCCTATAGTTTTTTTTATCAAGCACTTATAATTCAATATATTAATTATATTAATATCTAAAAATTAGAATTACTAATTATGGATAATTTATTTCCAAAAAAAGCACTTTTTAAATTTATAGAAAATTTAATTTAATACTTTAGCCTAAAAACAAGAAGAAATTTGATTTAATATCATGTTTATATTTTATAAAATTTTATGAAAATTATACATAGATAAAATTTATTTAAAAAATAATCTAATTATATAATTTTTGAATTATAAAAATTATATAATTAATTCCAAAGTCATATAATCTTTTAATAAAAATATAAAATTTATTAATTCCATTTTTTAAAGAAAGAATTTAAAAATTTTAACCCTTTATAGTAATTAATATATTTAATCAATCAAATAATGAAGAACTTGATTATAATAAAATAAATTTAAAATTGAAGAAAATTATAATAGCCGGTTACATTTCCAAATTTAAGCTTGGAACGATGCGTTGCGTCACACAATTTGTGGGCTGTGCTGAGTGTGAGTGGGATAATGTGGGCTTGTGGCAGCCACAGACCTGAATGACCACCGATAAAGATGTGGCGATAACATTTTATAAAAACCGACGAACCTCCTCCTGCCACGTGGCGGATAGGATTTTCATGCAACTTCACTTCAAAACCCCGTGATTCCCTCCCGCTACCTCTCAGACCTCACCCAATTCTAACCGTTCAATCTAACACACACGCTTCTCTCTCTCCCTCAATGGCCACCGCGCCTGCTCTCTCCGGCACCGTCTTCAGCACTTCCTTCCTCCGGCGACAGCCTTCGGCGGTGAGCCTCCGCGCCTTCCCTCAAGTCAACCAGGCTCTGTTCGGAGTGAAGGACACCGGAAGAATTACGGCCATGGCGACTTACAAGGTCAAGCTCCTAACCCCCGAGGGACCTCAGGAGTTCGATTGCCCCGACGACGCCTACATTCTGGACGCGGCCGAGGATCTCGGAATCGACCTTCCATACTCTTGCCGGGCCGGATCGTGCTCTTCCTGCGCCGCCAAGGTGGTGGAAGGCAAAGTCGACCAGTCCGACGGCAGTTTCCTGGACGACGACCAAATCGACGAAGGATTCGTCCTCACCTGCGTCGCCTACCCTCAGTCTAATGTCGTCATCGCGACTCACAAGGAGGAGGAGCTCACCGGTTAAGCTGGAACTATTTGATGGTTAATCGATTATTGCGTCTCTGTTATATGTTCTTCCTGGTGTTTGATGATGACGATGCTTCTTCTTTTTGTTTAATTTGTGTTTCTGAAGAAGAATCTAGTGACTTGCTTCTCTTCCGGTAGAAGAAGCAAGTGAAATTGTTGCAACTTTAATAATGTTTTTCGCTTACTTAATTTAATTTTCTCATCGCCTTCATTCATACGTGCCTGTTTCTATTGTTCCCCAGCTTTTCTCTTCTGGTTAGATCCCAGGAATTTAAAAATATATGTTTGGTACAAATGAATGAGATAAAGATTGTATTTAATAAATATATTTATATTTTAAAGAGACTAAAATATTCTTTTTTTTTTTTTTTGAAGTCTCCGTCATCTACTCATCTTCATCTTCTTCCCAACCAAAAATCACGAACACCCACCCAACAAACATACATCAACTTCTAGCGGACAACATAAATCCAAAACAATAATCAATTTCATCTTTGACAATCCAAAACTGTTGAAGAGCAGGAGCCAGATTTCAGGGAAAAAAACGAAGAAATAAATAAAGAAAACGAAAGTGGATGGGATGGTGGCGCGGCAATTGACGAGTAGCAATCCCACAAAAGGCACAACAGATATAGATTTCTAGATGAAAGCATGGGGAATGGTGTGTTCCGTTATTCAGTAATCAAGGCACATTTATTATATGTAAATGCATATAATTTGATATTAAAAGCATGAATAGGGTGCAAACACATACAAATTACAACTTAGTCGCATATAATTCATGTCTCAACAACACAAGTTATCATGGCTCTCGCACTTTTATTTCAATGCTTATTGTCACAACTTAATATTAATAATCATGTGACAATTGTAATATTAAATAATTAATATTTTTCACAAGCTTAACAACCATGTGACAAATTTAATATTCCTTCCGTCTCAAATTATAAGATATTTTTTAATAAAATTTCACATACTAATAAAATTTATTAAATATACTTTACAACTTTACTTTTTCAAAATAAAAGTATAAACTTTTAAAAATACCTTTAATTTAATACTTTATTGATAAAGAATATTGAAGAGAGAGAATTTATAGGAAGGATGATATTGAAAAAGTATTATTAATGAAACCTTATTTTTATCAAAGTGTCTTATATTTTGGGATGCTGAATCTTCCATAAAAATTTCTTATAATTGGAAGGAGTATTATGTATGATCAACTCTAACTTTATATCTTCATGATCCTTTTGACTGAAATCGTGGGCATTTAAATTAAATAACGCTCTATCCATATAAATGAATTACTCAAGCTTACCAATCATGAGGAGTAACCTGACTAAAAATTACTACACTCACTCTTGACTACTATTTTTTCCATTCATGAATGCCTAGGGTGTTGTAAACCCTATGCTAGTCTTCTCGACAAACAAGTAAAAATAAATTAGGTTTGAGTCTTTCAACAAATAGTGAAATAAGGGCTAAACTTTAGTTATCGAGAGACATTCATACTACGTGGATTTACCTACTCCTCTCTCTAGATGTACTTCCTCTAATATGATTATGCAATGAGTCATGCTTACACATATAGCATGCTATAATTCACATCAATGTGATCAATCTATAACTAACATACACAAGGCTAATATCATGTGAGCATCCTCTCATATGTCACAACCATCATTTTACCACATCTAAACATTTGCCATCATATTAGGTTTATTCTCAATCAAACAAACCTAAATTATCAAATTCATAAACTCATATTACACAAGCACGCAAACATACACATTGCTTTTATGCATATCACATACCTTAGCATTATATGGAATTGATAATTATTGCTAAACTACAACATACATAAATATTTCATCATAAATACAATTTAACTTCACATGTTCAAAAAGACACACACACATTTAAATCATAATTAATTAACAAACAAATGCACATACTTAGATTTTTCATTATTATCTTAAATCTTTAAGAGGTTAAAGATTTATCTCTTAATGTTATCATACGTCCAAAGCTAATATTGAGCTTCAATAGTACCCAACACAATTAATCTACAATTAATAGCATCAAAAACCATTAATGCCATTATAAATATGCTCCCAACATCTAATTTTCATCACTTTTGCAACCTTAACACTCGTATCACCATTGTTTATTTATATCCATTAGGGGTATTAGCTTCCTTTAGCTCCCACTAATTGAGTTAAACTCATTACTCCACATTGCTAGCTATCAACCTTCCCCAACTACCATAAAAAATACCATTTTCATTCATATTAATGAGCCCTAGCTTAAGGATGCTTAAAATTATCAAACTCAAGTTTAGATAACTTAAACAACTCTCATTAAATTTATTTAAGTCAATGAGTTTGGGCATATTCTATAAGTCCAAAAAATTAACTTTCCATTGCAAACCCTAACTCAAACATGGTGTAGAGGGGAAAAAGAAGGATAAAGAACACTTACTTTAATGATTAAAAGTTCTAAATCCTCCCAAAGCCCTCATAATCTCTTGCCCTAGTAAAGTGTAGCTTGTGCCCTCCTCCTCCTCCTCCTCCTCCTTCTCCCATTAACTTTATTTAAGTCATTGGGTCTGGACTTATTCCATAAGTCCAAAAATCAACTTTCAATTACAAACCATAACTGGAACATGGTGTAGAGGGGAAAAAGAAGGATAGGAAACACTTATCTTAGTGATTAAAAGCTTTAAATCCTTCCAAAGCCCTTACAATCTCTTGCCCTAACAAAGTGTAGCTTATACCCTTCGTTCTTCTTCTTCTTCATGAGCTGCAGTCTATGTTGCTTGAGCTATTACAGATGGTATAGAGAAGTTTTATCTCGTGTTTTGGTCTTTGAGCTGTCGCGGATATTGCATGAGCCACAGTACATGGTGCAGGGGTAAATCCTCCATGTTTTCTTCCTTTTTCAAAGTCTAGGATACCAACTTTGCATGGAAATCAATCCTTAAGCTACAACCACAAGCTAAAGGCTTATTAGCCCTCTCTAACCACCTTCTAATGCAATTTTTACTTCTAAAATTACTCATTTACCTTTGATTAACTTAACTAATTAGGTGTTTAGTTTTTTTGAGATGTTACAATATAAGTGAGATACCCCTAGCTAGTTGTTTTTCAAAAGACCCATAAGCATGTCTAGCCCATTCTCAAGCTATCAAAGTGAGAGTGAAGGTTTTGAAAACACAAATACAATTTTATTTCATTTATTCAAAAACCTTCTTTCCCCACCTTGCCACTTTTACTCTTAAGAGAGAAAAAAGAGTGTTTTTTGATTGACAATATAATGCAGTTCCAATTAGAATTGAAGTTTGATGACTTTACTATATGGTAATATCTAAATGGTAGAAATCTTATCCTTAGCACCCTTTTTGAAACCTTGAGAAAGGTTTATTGGATTATTTTTCTATATGTTTTATTTTCAAGCCTTCTAGGATGTGATGCTACATTTCTGGATGTTAATTTATCTATGGGATGTTAACATCCATTTAACTATATAACATACTTTTGCTATGTTAAATTTTAATTTTTGGTTGTTTCATTGTACAGTCATCCAGAGTAAATTGAATAGGAACTTTCCATAAGTTCTTGGGTACTAAATGCATGATTTGTGGATATATGTGATTTTACCATATTACTTATGACAATGTAGACCTTAAGACATCTTAATTACCTCCATGCAATTTCAAAGTTGCATGTTTTGTAGACAAAGATTCTGTTTATACTTGCTCAAACTAGTAGCACTCTTTTTCTAATTATTTCATGCTTTTCTTAGCTTTTTCTCATTGAAATTTGTGGTTTAAATTAGCTTCTTTTATAATCCCTTAAAAAAGAATAAAATTCTCAATAAGAAATTTGCGACTGCTTGTTTCTACTCTAACACCAATAAATATGGCTTTTGTTTGTACAAATGGAGAAGAATTTCATGGTTTTTGTTTTGTTCTTGCATATTTTTAATAAACTGATCAAAGTAGAAGATGGATTATGCGAAGAACTAGAAGAAGATTTTGAAAAGGATCCCATTTGAAGAAGATCATCCAATTAAAGCGAAAGAATGGCTTGCCAGAGATGTGGATGAATATGTATTGAAAAAGATCATCTAATTAAAGAAAAAGAAGTTGAACAAAAGCATCCACTTCTCGTAAAGATGATATTTTGTAAAGATTATTTTTTGTAATGTGGTTGGAATGTTTTTGTATATAAAGTATTGTTTTTTTGTATAATGTTTCTTTTAGACTCAATGTTCAATGCAAGAAAATGCTTCATAATATGATGTTAGTGTTTAGTTGCATTTCATAAAATTGTTCCAAATTTGTATGAGTATATTTTTCATACTAAATAAATTTTTAGGATATGGTATAAAGTTTTCATAAAAACGATGTAGCTTGAAGCTATGGTTCCTCTTTGTCTATGTTTTTATAGAATATTCATGAGTGGTTTTTAATTAAAAATGAGAAAATTTTAAAACATCCATTTTTGTTTTCATAAAAATTGAGAAAAGTTTCAAAATATCCATTTGTGTTTTCATAAAAATTGAAGAAACAGAGGTTATGATTTCTTTTTGTTCATATGCAATAAGCTTATAAGATATACATGATTTTTTCCGTCATATGTAATATTCTTTTGCATATGCAACACTCTCTCATAGATGTAAATTTTTTGCATGATATACAATGTTTCTTCCATTACATGCAATCACTCTCCTACATATGCAATACTTTCCTGTTGTATGCAATACTCATATGCATATGTGACACTCTTTTGTAAATGTAAATTTCTTCTATGATATGCAACATTTCTTTCATGATATAGAACCACTCTTCTATCGTATGCAACACTCTCCCATAAATATAGATTTTTTCTACGATATACAAAGTTTCTGCTGTCATATCTAACACTTTTCTGTATATGCAACACTCTCTCATCAAATGTAACACTCTTGCATATGTAGACTTCTTTTATGACTGCAATGTTTCTTTTGTTATATGTAAGACTTTTCTGTTATATGCAAGAAACTCCTATAAGTACACATTAGGTGCAAACATATTGATACCTATGGAACTTATATAACAATGATATTGAAGGATCTTGTTTAACATATTAACATTGAGGACCTTGTGCTTTAGTGCTAAATAAATTGTCACCAAAAAATCTTGAGTAACATATTGACTAACAAAGACCTTACTCAACCTTCTCTCTCTCTGTTTTTTTTAACTATCAAGGACATCCAAGTCCTTTTTCGTAAAAAAAATGTGGTAGTTATGTCTTTTTAACCAATTTTTTTATTTTAATAACGTAATTTTTAAATAAAATAAATAAATAAATTCTCAAACTTAAAAAAGTAAGAAAGGAGAGATTGCATGATATCGAAAAGGGGAAAAAAAACCATAAACCTTGGCAACTTAATTGACAATGATGTAGATTTACTTTTAATATATTTATCATCATCATGCTTTCATCATCTCTCCCTAATCCCTACTTCATCTCTCCTCTTATCATTGGATAGAAACTTAAGTTTGGATCCTCTCATTTCTCATTTTCTTATTTTTCATCCCATCTCTATTTTTAAGAGACAGAATAAATGATCCAGATTTATTTATTTTATAAAATAATTATTGTAATATTATATAAAAATAAAAATAAACTTAAATTATTAAAATTTAACTTATATAGTTCATAATTATATATATATATGCACTATTATTAAGAATTTTTATAAATTAAAATTTTTTATTTATTTGATCGGAATTATAAGTTATGTAAATTAAATTTTAAAATTATTTATTTATTTGATATAATATAATATTATGAATTTATGATAATAGTTTTATAAAACAATTAAATTTGAACGATTTAGTTTTTTTTATCTAAAAGTGAAAATTGGACGAGGAGAAGAAAACGAAAAATAAGGACGAGGGAAACTTCAAAGCTAAAGTACTAAGGTCCCGTTTGGTAGTTTAGAATTATGGAGAAAGAAATGAAATTGGATATGAAATCTGTTAACATGTGTGTTTGATATGCAATAATTATGATTTTTTAAAATCTGAATTCAAAAAAATTTAGCAGAATCTAATTCCATCATATGCATCATGGAATGCGATTCTATGATTCTTTTTCTCCAGTTTGTCCCTTTTCTCTACTCCAATATAATTTTTTTAAATTTTAAAAAGAACACTTTAGTCTTTTCTTATTTTAAATATTTATATTTTATTAAAATTATATTAAAATTTTATCATCATACCAAACATATTTTTAAATTTAATTTTATTTTAATTTTAATTTTAATTTTAATTTTGATTTTAATTCTGATTTCATTAAAAATTCTTCCATGAAAAAAGTGTTCATGTCTTCTGAAACAAATCAAGAAGAGTCTCGACTTTTTCTTCACCATCTCCATTCCCAACACGCTCTTCATCTTCTTCCTCTTCTTCACCATTGTAGCTATCTGGTGGCGGTGAACTAAAATCCACTGATTTAGACAGGTACTCATCAGCCTTCTTCTTTGAATCCTCAATCTTGAGCTGATCCACCGACGTCACCGTTATCTGATTCAGCGATTCCATCGACGCGCTTCTTGTTAGGGTTCCTGATACCACCGTTATCTCGTCCCTCTCGTCGATGGTCGATTCCAGGGAACACACTGATCTCGTGGCATGTGAGTGCACAGAATCGTGTTTGGATCTCTGCTTCACTCTCTTGCACCAACTATGCAGTGATTCTCTAACGCTTTCTGCTACCACCGCCTTCTTCCAGCGAGATCCCATCTGGCGTGATTTGTCAGAGAAAATTCAATCATTGAAATGTAAGAATTCTGGACTGAGTAGTTCTTATTGTTAGTTTTGGATTGGAATCCTGCAAGTTTCCTGAGAAATTTGAGTGGCAATTCTGCAAAAAGGTTAGCAATAACTGACTGATGAGATGTAATGCTTACTTGATTGATCCCACTTGTAGTGTTGCACTCTATGAAAATGATACTTTAAGAGATTTAGAAGATCTGAATCTCTTATTTAAAGGGTGCAAATCAGACACATGTTAAACGATAATACTGTCATGACACAGTGATTATGTGTGTTAAACAAAGTATTTTTTCAAACTTTCACTAGGATTAGTTGCCCAAAAAAAAAAAAAACGTTACATGGATTCTTGGCCAGAAAAAAATCTCTGACATGGATTGAACGTTGATCCTCAAAAGAAAGGGATTAAAAACCCCATCTTGACGGGTTAGTCGAAGTTCCTAATATTTTTGTTCTTGAATAATTTGAGTAGTATGGTAAAATCTTTTTATTTAATGGATGTTTTGAAAAGTCAAGTCTAAGATGCTTAGAATATAATACAATGCTGTTTTTAAAAAAAAAAAAAATTCAAGAAAGCATATCATGAGAAGAGATAACAAAATGTGTGTGTGAAGTGCATTTATATGTGTGTTTGGGATTTTTTTTTTAATGTCTTCTCAAACAATCAAGACCAACAACGACAAGAGAGCATTCGTAACCAACATGAAAGAGAAACCTACACTTCACCCTTTGAATTAACACTTATTTATGAAATTGAGACATGGACATCAAAAGGTAATAATGAAAACCTTTTAGACGTTGGACTGAAATGAATGATATGTTATATCTCAGTCAAAATTAAGTGCAAGAGCCTCTGAACATTTTCTTGACTTTCATATATTTAGAAGTACGAACTATGAGATAAAGTTAAACCAACCTGTGAAACTATTACATTCAGGGGCACTGTCATGTAGCTACACCAGAACTGAACAATAACACTGCAAGTTCCATAATGAGAAAATGTAAGACGTCCTGCAAATAATTGTAGAATCTGCAAACTTAATGTTAAGAGATGGCCAAGACAAACCATACACAACACTTCTAAGAATGGACCTACCCAGATGCTAACCGTATGATGATCATATATTGGTTTCTCATGAAGCATGATCGTTCCTTGAGTCCCCACTGTACTTACAGAAATTCAAGGAAAAATTCTGATCAGATGATTTATAAAACAGATTAATCCTAGCAATGAAAAATAAAATACGCATGTAAATATGTTGGCGTAGCCATGCACCCCCTTGAAGGGATTAAAACTTACCAAGGACCAGATATATGTTGCCATTTCGAAGGCATTCTGCATCAACAGTGAAGAAAATGAGGACCAGAGGCTGATACGTAGAACAACCTGATAAACCTAAGATGTGAAATCTGAAGTTTTAAAAGCACACTTTTACCTGAAATATCACAAATTGTATCAACCATAGCAGTATCTCAGGTTTGTTGCACCAAAATAGATCATCACGTGGCTTTACTTGTGTCCTATCTGATGGACCGGTTTGCTCCCTAATGTCAAGCGCTAAAGTGGAAACAACATGCTGAAGTTTTGTCCCTATCAACATGACAAGCTTTTACATGTAGAATAATCAGAGATGGATTGTAAAAAAAAAAAAAAAAATTCTGATAGATTGTTTCATTAAAAGTATTTTTTTTATTAGCTTCATTTTTAAAAGAAATATGAAACCAGAATATACTTACAAAGACAGGAATAAAAGAGAGCCAAAAATAAATATTCAGACCTGCAATTTGGAAACTTTAATGTCTGAGAAATTTAAACACAAACTAAAACCATTTCCACTAATAATAGATTTGGATTGACAAGGGGGGAAAAAGTTACCATGAATGTTCACAAAGATGCAGATTATCGCATAACCCCAGAGCGGCCAACTGCAAATCAACAAAGCCAATTGATAGAGATTACGATCACACTACTCCCAGGAAAGGATGAATTTTCATAGTGGTGGAATATTCAGAATATTAGCATTAAAAAGGATTAATCAAAGATTAAAATAAAGAGAAAATACTACTTCAAGTCCTCATACTTTAATTGTATTTTGTGTCTAGTCCTTGCAGTTTATTTTAGTTGTTCCTCATCCCTTTTATTTGATTCGTCTCTAATATTTGTCCTTTTAGTTTGGAAAATACATGCAAGGACCATGAGCTGGTCCAAGCAATGTTTATTTTGCTGACATGGACTTGACACTGTTAACTTATAAGTAGTAATTTGAGGTAGCTGAATTGTGAATTGTGGAATGTGTTCAAGTCTGTCTGTGTTAGTAAAATAAAGACTGTTTGTGCCAGCTCAGAGTCCTTATACTTATTTTTCAAATTAGAAGGAGAAATAACGAAAATAAACTGTAGGGATAAAAACAAAACATCATTGAAGTATAGGGACCTAGAGTGATATTTTTCCTAAAATAAACATGCAAATGGATTCAAAAAGACATTCCTCAGTATTTTCCCTGGAATGTTTATTGTATATGCCAACTTTATTGTTAATGACAAGCATTCTATGTTATAAATAACTCAATTGATATTTTGAAAAACCACTTGAAAGTTAAAAAGAAGAAAAGAAACTTAGACTAGAATGCTTACCTTATTCCTAGAATACCATGAAATTCGTCTTCCATGCTGCGAACCATGTAATTATGGAAGTTATATGATAGTGGTAATTTATGCTTCTGTAAATTTCATAGCAGGAAGCAAGTTAGACACCGGTGCAAAATTCAGTTATCCAAGAAGATGAGCAAATTGGTGATTGTATTCTATGAAGGTAACTGAGTCTAACCCTATTCCCAAACTACTTATGATGTAATTAAGTAGGTTTCTTTAAGAGAAGCAAAATATGAAGACAAAAAGCCACAAGGTATGTTTTATTTTGTTATAATCCATTAAAAAATTAGAACAAAAAGAAAATATCCTTAACAAATTAGATACTTACGGTGAAGAAACCCTGACGAAGTGCAAGGTAGTCAGATTTTTGTATAGAACTCCGAAATTGGCGCAGGAAACAAAGCTGCAAGATCAAACTACAAATTACCAACAGTTTAAAACAAGCCAGAACCTGTATAAGGCTGATATTTAGCAAAAAGTAGCTGCAAAAATTCTTCCAGCGCAGTAGGCTTTCACTAAGTTGGCACTCTTTGAAAATTATTACTTTTCAAGCCGACGTATCTGATTCCAGTACCATAAAGATTATTTACTAATTAAACAATGCTCATCATCTAGTTGTTAGCATAGTTTAAAAGTTTGCAGGTGATCATGATTGAGAATATGTATACTTCATATTTGATGATACATTACCATCCAGATTAGTGTTGGACTCCTGCTCCATGGATGAGAAGTGTGATGGAAAACAAAGGTTGTTTGTCTCCTCATCACCTTGTTTTTCTTTTCTGTGAAACAGAATCAATAAAAAATAAGGGCAGTTTTTCAGACAGGCAATTCATTATATGGATGATAATTGCATCAGAAAGAGAAGCATTGGAACACCGTGTCTGAAAAGGCAGTGCTTGAACTGTTTGTTGTTTGAGAAAGAACCTAAATCGCAGCAGATAATGTTGGACACTTGGACTGACAATACAAAATATTATGATCTTAATTTGCTTCGAGGATGTATAATGGGAATGCCTCAGGAATGTTACCATGTCAATTTATATCCTTCTGCAAGGAGGTTTAAAAGGTTTGCAAAGCATGATATTACAGAAAACTATTTCTTGACCAGGAAAATTTTGTCTTAATCTGCTTCAAGGATGAAAAAACTAAAAAGAAAAGCCCTAAAGAGAGTTTAAAAAAAAAAAAGTTCTTTTGAGGTGCTATTATGTCAACCAATATCTTGAGGAAGGTTTCAAATTTTCTGATGTAAGAAGAAATTGTAGCAATTCATTTTCTCATGTACCTGGTAGATTTCCATCAGCTGCGATGCTAGCCTGGTTTTCCCATCTTCGCCAACTATAGATCTGCCAAATTACAACATGAAGAGAACATAAACCAAGGAGCAATCGTTGCATGTCACGACGATGAAGTCAAATTGTTAAATTCTGCAAGTATTTGATGACCAACAGCAAAAGTGATGGACTTGAAGACCAGACATGAAGAACAAAAGTCATTGAACTTAAAGAAGCTTCTCTCCACTGTGTTGGTGGTTCATTGGAATGGTGGACTATCCAATTGAATTAATGGTTCAGATTGTCAATTTTTAAAAATATAAACTAATCTATATCGTGAAGATAAAATTTGATTTGGACAGTTCAAAACTATAGTAGAGGTGGATTGAAGAGAAATATGGTAAGAGAAAGCCACTATCAATGGGTTGGAACTAGGCGCTTCAATGAAAAAAATGATTCTTATTATGCCTAGTATACTAATAATTATTTTACTCAGATGAGGTGCTACGCATTCTTATTGTAATTACTGGTTATAGCATTACTCATACATTGGTTTTTGCGATTATTATTATTATTATTATTATTATTATTATTATTTACTGGTGAGATGCAAATGCAATTGCGAAATATTATTATGCCTACTGACCTTGCTCATTGCTAAACCAACTGCCAGACAACTGTACAGAACATGAGTGATCCCAAGCACAAACAAGAACCGGTGCAGCTGCTCCAGACCCTCATATGAAACGAAAGGTTCATGCCCCTGCATTTATAAGAATTTAAGATTTTTTTTTTCAAAAAAAGAAAAAAAAACAGAGAATCAAAATAAAGGGAACTGTACATATTTCCCTATTTGTTTAATGACTAATATACATATTTCCTTCATTGTATTGAGATTGAAGAATAAACCGCACTACCTTCAGCTTGCAAATAGTGTAACTTCTTGTAGATTTTATGGTGTATAATTTGACATATTAATCGTGTAATTTAGGGGATTATTTTAGGAAGGGATAATATAATTTAAGTCCCTAAACTTTCTTTCAATTATTCATTTAATCCTTGAATCGTGATTTAATATAATTCAAGTCTTGTAATTTATTGAGTTAAGCAATTATAGAGATGGAGTTGTATTGAGTTAAATTATAAGAATTATGTTATTCCAAGTCAATAAAGTAAATGAAGTGAGTTGTTATGAATTGAAGGTTAAAAGACTGAATTGATAATTGATAACAAATTTAGAGACCAAAAGTTATTTTTTTTTTTCTTTTGTGAAGGATTTATACCAATCCTTCCCATCTGATCTGATCTAAGACAGTTCACAACTACACTTTTCATTCTTTCTTAGTTTTCTCCTCTACTCTGTGTGTGTGTGTGTCTAGTAAATACGTGGCACCACCATCCTTTTAAGCACTTATCATTAACAATCAAGTGATTACTTACTCTATTGACTATCCCAATTATTGGTTAAGTGCATCAAGCACCTTTTTATTCAGTAGTGGAGATCATTTTCCTAAACACATCATATAGTAAACGACAATACAACAAGAAAGCAAAGCCAAATAGAGAAGTATATTACCTTAGGACACTGATGAAATGCACTACTAATTAATCCCTTCGGGATATCAGTGTTGTTGGTGAAAGGGAATGGACTTTCAAGCATGATTCTTTCATTCTTGTCAAGTTCATCATCTTCATCGGAACAAATATAAAATTCACTGTTGAAAAGAGACGATTTTACACACATTTCAGATATCCACCTTGCGCATAGTGCCAACAACAAAGAGATGAGCCCAAGCAGCATCAGCTCTATCAGCAAAGAATCAATTTCAGTAAGAGACAAAATCATATAATATCAACCCCAAAGCTCTTTTGGTAAAAAAAAAAACAAAAAGAAAGTCAACCCCAAATCTCTACTTTTACTCAGTAAAAGGTTATCAAGTCGGGAATGGATCTTTTAGAAATTCGAGAACCACAATATTTCAAATGATGAAAAAACATACAGATACACAATAGTGGATTCTACTTCTGACATGTGGGTCTCACAAAAGTACGTCTACTATGATGTATCTATCTCTTTCTTCATTTTAAGTAAAATCACTTTAAAAATTTTGTACTATACTAAGTCAATTGCATATGATTTAAAGGATGCAAACTCACCATCCATACCCCTTTATATTTGTGAAAGATTAAAATGCTATTTAGTATTTACCTTCCTTAATTTTCTCAAGAGAAGCATAGAGTGCCTTCCTTCTTGTCTTCTGCAACCACTGCATACCAAGTCCAAACATTTTTTTTTTTTTAAAAAAAGCTTCACTTTCATGAGATTTAATTTAACAGCTATCTTCATTCTTCATTTTGTTTTTGTTTTCGTCCACTGCTATTCTGATATTAAAATCCACTCATACTTTTCAGATTTGACTAGCAGAGCTAGATATAAACTAAATGGAAAATGACCCAATAGAGACTAACCCTGCGACCCTGAATCAACGTTAACCAAGTTTTAACATTGTCGGCATGTTTTATATCCCTAATGTAGTAAAGGACAACAGCATAAAGATTCAAACAACATATAACCAAACTTCCTAGAATTTCTCAGCAAGTAAGAAGTAAGTAGTAACATATATGAACATAGCCCCAGATGACTAGACACAGCTTCAATTCATTTTTACTTTGGCTTTTAGCAGTAACGAACAGTTACGGATAGATAACCATTGATCTTATTCTGTGTGTCTTTCTAAGTGTAAATAACTATTTTTAGATTTTTTGTTTCTCTGATATATATGTGAATAACCTTAATAACAATAATAACAACAGTTGCCTCTTACCTTCCCGAATCTGTATATTGACCGTTCGACCAAAAAGCAGACGAAGACCATGACAGTGACAACAGAGGCAACAGAGTATGTGGGCGTTTCAGCCAGAGACCTCCCTCGCTGAAGCACCTCTGCCATCTCTCTCTCACATCAACCGCAAGAAACCAACCCTTTAGCTGAGACACAGAAAGTTGGAAACTTTCATGGAAAAATGGAATTTTTTTTCCCGGGAAAATGACACGCAGATGGAAGAATGTGGATGGGAGTGAGTGAAGGATCCAGGAAATGAGGAAAGTTGGATACTGCAAAAGCTCAGAAGCATCATCTCAGCAAGGCAAGAGTTGTTTTATTAGGTGAAGGGTGCATGTGGGGGGTTTTAGAATGTAGATCCCACACACATGGCATAGTACATTATATTATATAGTGTTCAATATAATATAAAACTTGTATCGTTTATTGCTAATTTTATAGTCTCACATCACACACAGAGATTGAGACTTTTTATGGAAATCCATCGTCAGCTGCTTTGGACCCAGAACCCAGTGCTTTCTCTCTCGCACATCTCTCTCCAAATCCAACCATTGCACATGGAGGGGAAGGAGGAGGATGTATCTACCTGTCAGTTACCAAATGAGACCCCAATTAATCCTCTTTTCTGGTTATCTAACATCTGCTGGCTATTAATTACCTTGTGGAAGTTTTGAATGGAATGAAACCAAATGATCATTGATGTATAAAATGAAATAGTGTTCAAGATGGAGCGACACTTAGGACAAGTAAGGCATCTTACAAGGCAAGGGCTGCTAGATGCATCTAGGTTTACGAGTGTGGGGGGCAATTGTCCTAATTATTCATTACTATTAGCCTAGTGGAGCCAAGAACTTATGTCAGGGGTGTAGATTAATTTTAAAAATAATAATTTAAAAAGAATTATTTAATATTTTTTAAAAATAATCATACATTTTATAATTGTCCCCTACTTATTGTCAAATGCTATTAAAAATATTTCCTTTCATATAAGTCACTAATTTATGATATTATTTATATATAAAAATATATAATAATTAACTAGAGATTTAAAAAAATTAAATAACTAAGAATATTTTTCTCTAAAAATCATATAAGAGTTTTGGACATAGTGAATTCATAACTGAGTTTAAGTTAAAATATTCATAAAAAAAAATCTAAATTTTAAGGGGTTCAAAATTTTGTGATTAGAAAAGATAAAATAGCAAAATATCAACTTTTCATTTGTAATTTCCTTTAAGTTGAAGGGGGTGCATATGCCCCTCTCAAATGTATGTAGCTCCGCCATTGCCTATTAGGCTCTCTCTCTCACACGAATATATGTGTGTGTATAAATATCCTCATTCTTTTTTTTATAAGACATATTTCAAAAAAATTGAAAAAATTAATCCACATGTCTTTATGGTTTCTCTTCAATTTTGAATCAAGTTTATGTAATTTATTTTGTTTTAATTAATTTCCAATGATTTGATCAATTAAATATGTTAAATTATTAACTTTATCAAAACAAGATCACCTTCAAAATTTATAGAAAATTTGATTTGATACATTTGGTTAAACAGAAAAAAAGATTGATTTAATACAATATTTACATTTAATTAATTTTTTTATGTAAATTCTATATATATATAAATTATTTAGAAGACATAACTTAATTACATAAACCTTGAGTTATAAAAGTTACTCCCTCTATTAAAAAATATAAGGCATTTTTTAAGGAGTTAGATGTTAAAAAATATAAAGCATTTTTAGTTTTTTGAGATGTATTCATTGCCTTTTTTTAAAAAGTACTCTTATTGATGAATAACTTTATATTTATTGTAAGATATTTAATAGGGGTAAATATAAAAAAATAAAGTTAGTTTAAAAGTAGATAATTATTTTATTAAAGAGTGAAATTTGATTAAAAATATCTTACATTTTTGAACGGAGAGAGTATGTAATTAATTTTGATAATAGTTTAATAAAAATATAAAAATTCTTAATTTTATTTTTTTAAAAGGAAAGATTCATGAATTTTAATTTTTGAGAATTAACATATTTAATTGATCAAATTACAAGGGTTCAATTAAAATAAAATAAATTACAGAGATCTAATTCAAAATTAAAGCATATTATAAGGACATGTGAATTAATTTTTTTAGAAAAATTAGTATTCTTATTTATAAATCATTTGGTAGAATTTAATTAATAATTAATATATATTAAATTAAATTAAAACATCTCATCAAACAAGTGATTTAAATTATTAATAGAGAAATTAAGAAAGAGAAAAATATTTAGTGAATTGTATTCTTAAATAGATTAAATAATTTCAAAAAATGTAAACTAATTTTCTTGATTTGTGTAAAATTATTAAAAAAATATATAAATTAGATTGGTGATGTTGATTTTATTTATTTATTTATTAATTTTACAATTTTACATTTATCTCTTTTTTATTTAAACTTATAGAAAGAGCCTGAAACTGAATGTTTGGAGAGAGATGGCTTCCATGCATCCCCCGCGAGTTCCCGCCATTTTCGGCTCAGAGAAAATCTCTCCTGCTCCTCCTTCTCCTTCACCTTGCGGTGATGATCAACACTTTATCTCTCTTCCGATGAAATGTTTCCTGAATCTGAATTTTTCTGTTCATTTTTTCTGTTCTTCGATTTTTCGGTTAAACTTCCTCCTCTGGTTTCCAGGTAATCATTATTTTCCCATATTGGGAGCCAGGTTTCTGACTTCCTTTGATTCCACATTTTGGTGCTAAGCTTTACGAACTCCGAACATGGTTAATGGTTGAATTCCAATTTATAACATCTGACATTGAGTCGCTATGGATTGAGAAGAAACCGATAAATACTCTCGAACCCACTATTCATGCTGTATCCTGTTTTACTTCTTTTACGTAAGAGTTAAGACCTTTTCCTCCGTGGTTTAAATATAGGAAGAAGTGATAACTACTAATGGCCTTTTGTAGTTTTATGGTAGCCGTCTAATGTTACTTTCCATTGTGGACATGGTTGCACTTGCATGAGTTCTGATTGAATAAAACGAATTATAATTCACATTTGGATATATATATATATACACATAAAGATATTAGTCTGTATACTTTCTTGCAATCGAATATTGATTAGAAGGTTCATGACTACGATGATAACATGTGCAGTTTGTTTTGTAATACATCACAGAGATTTGCATCTTATCTCTCTAACTAAAGATTTTCTCCATTTACATCATGTTTTATTGTTCTGAATCCCTCCTGAGTGTGCATGTGTAAATTCCCCTTTCTTTTTTATGGTCAGGTTTCTGTAGATGACTCTATTTTGGATCAGTTTATGGGTAGTAGGAATTAAAGAATAAAAGCTATATATATATATATATATATGAGGCTTCATGTACTCTTCTTGATTGACACCTAGGTGATGCGTCCAGGATTTTGTGCTTGCTGCCCAAGAAGAACTTATATTATGTAGGAAGAGTGAATCTTAATGAGTTCTCCGGTTGAAGTGGGCAGTCAAGGTGACAAGCCCCAGAAGGAGGGGCTTAAATGCGGCCTTAAAGAACCAACGTTCTTGTATGGTGACTTGGATCTGTATGTATTAGAAGCAAAAAATCTCCCAAATTTGGATCTTTCTTCTGAAACAATGAGAAAATGTTTCACTATGGGTAATACTTGTACCCCTCCCTTCATGAAAGCACGCAGGATAAGCACTGGGAAATATCATGTAGATACTAGCGATCCCTATGTCTCTGTCGTTCTGGCAGGGGCTACTGTAGCTCAAACTCGAGTAGTTCGTAATAATGAGCATCCTTCATGGGATGAGCATTTTATTGTTCCAGTGGCTCATCCTGCTGAGGAAGTGGAGTTCATTGTGAAAGATAATGATGCTCTTGGGGCTGAAATCATTGGAGCTGTAGAGATACCAATTCAAAATATTTTGTCTGGAAATACTATTAATGATTGGTTTCCAATAACTGGTGGGTTCTCAATTTGCTCAAAAGGTACTCCTGAGTTACATATCTCTATTCAGTATCAGCCATTTGGAGCAAACCCTTCAGACAAATATGGCATTGGAGCTGCAGCAGATCATCCAGGTATTCCTAACACATATTTTCCTCCTCGGAAAGGAGGGAAAGTGACTCTGTATCAAGATGCACATGTACCAGATGGTAAACTACCTAAAATTTCACTTGAGGAGGGAAAAGTCTTTCAGCAGGGTAAATGTTGGGAGGATATTTGCCATGCAATTTTGGAAGCTCATGAGCTGGTATACATTATAGGATGGTCTGTTTATCACCCTGTAAAGCTTGTCAGAGAACCAACAAGACCCGTACCTTCTGGAGGAGAGCTTTCACTTGGAGAGTTGTTGAAATATAAGTCACAAGAAGGTGTCCGCGTGGTTATGCTGATCTGGGATGACAAAACTTCGCATGACAATTTTTTTTTGAAAACAGTACTTCGATTACCCTAATGACAAAATTAAACATGATTTCTCTTTTGAAGTTTATATTGATTCATCAAATTCTTGGCAAGCTCTACTTTGTCCATACTAGTGGTCTGCTTTTAAATCAAATCATACGAGATAATATTACATTGAAGTATTGAAATTTCTTGATTATGCTTAATCATGAAGTTACTGAAAGGGAAAATGTCCAATTGAGGAGAACATTGAGAGGGGAGCGTAAAACAAGATAGCTATTGTTTCTCATTAAAGTATGAATTCAATTGAATTTCTTTCTGGACTTTTACTGTAACCTTTAATAACTTGATGCTAGTGTAATTCTCAATAATTTGATGCTAGGCTTCTGAGACTCGTGAATATAATGTTTGACTTGATTGTAGATAAGAAGGGCATAGCAATGTTTTAAACCTGCATCACAAAACAATAACTGATTTAATTGATTGCAGGATGGAGTCATGCAGACCCATGATGAAGAAACTAAGAAATTTTTTAAACACTCCACTGTTCATTGTGTTCTTGCTCCGCGTTATGCAAGCAATAAGCTCAGTATTTTCAAGCAACAGGTATGAAATTATTTTGCTTTCATATGAAACTATGTAGGATGAAAATATTGAGTTCCTTTGCTGCATCACCTCAAAACATTATCATTTTACTGGAAGAGTTCAATCAATTGTCATTTATAAAATTGAATATTTTGGTCCAGGTTGTTGGAACCCTTTTTACGCATCATCAGAAGTGTGTGCTTGTTGACAGTTATGCATGTGAGGATAAACGGAAAATAACTGCTTTTATAGGTGGTCTAGATCTATGTGATGGCAGATATGATACTCCTGACCACCGGCTCTTTGTTGATTTAGACACTGTCTTTCAAAATGATATTCATAATCCGGTATTCCCTGTAAGTGGTTATTATGCAATTGCAAAATTACATGGTTATTTTTTGCATACATCGGAAGTCTTTTTTTTTTTTTTGGGGCGCTGGGCGGCAGTGGAAGCCACATTCTACTAGGAATTAGTAGCTGAAGACGCTTTCTAAGTGCATGCCTTATTTTTTTCTTTTATTCAACATTTTCTTGTGCCATAAATGTCTGCATAAGCACATAAGAATTCATCCAATAGTGTGTTCATTCATAGATTTTTAAGTGATATGTCATCATTTGCGGGACGTTGAAACTATCTGCATTTTGACAAGGATGCAAAGGAGTGTAATGATAGGTCGTCAGAATAAGCATTAACGTTGAACTTCTCAGATAAAAAATGCGTATGCCATCTATAGAATTCCCATTCCTATATCTTAAATATGAGACCAGTTTTTTTTTCCATAGCATTTCTCTCCACTTTGCCTTCATTGCAATTCTTAACCATTCAAACCAAATTTTAATGGGAAAGATTAACTTATACATTTATACACTGTCAAATATGAACCTTCAAAATTAATTTGACCGTCAACCACTACAGTGAACCTTCCATTTAGTGGAGAGAAAGCCTTCCTTTCAAACCCCATGATCCCACTTTGTGAAGGATACAACAATACTTACTCCCCAACCCCACTGTGCTAAATAAAAGGACACAAAAACTGCTTGTCAGCTAGCATTGCACAACAAATAACAAAACCAAAGATAATGAGAAGCCACTTCCTCTACACGAGGCATGTTGTTTGTTGGCATGCTCTAATTCTTGAAAGCTCATCAATCTCCACGCACCACCAATGTACTTGGGTTTTCTAAGAGGTTCCTCTTAGAAAGTGTCATGGCTTATGTATACCCCCTCCTTCTTTTACTAGAACCTCCTCAAGGTCTTAGTTCATGCATCTATCTTGCAATTCCTCAGCATCTTCCCAAGTTGAGTAATCTGTAGGAAGGTGTTTCCATTATGCCATTCTTTCTTCAACAAATTGAGTTCCTTTCTTAGCCCTTCAAGTATCCAAAGATGGCCACATGTTTCACGATAAGTCCTCTATCCTCAGAATAGGTGGATTTCAAATTAATAAAAATAAGAAATTATAGTGTACTCTTGCTGAAAAAAGATATTGTCCTAACAGATGCTGATAAAATGCCAAAACACTCGGATAAAGTCCCAATTGTAAAATGCATCTTATCCTTCATCATACCGGAGAATGTCTTTATAAACATAAGATTTTTTTGAAACGAAAATTTGTCATTAATAAATAAAAACTATGGAACAAAGATAGCATAGATTTTTAGCATTCCAGTTTACTGATATTTTTGTCATTTGGGATCATTTAAAATAGCCAATTTTCGGAGTTTGTCTACATTTACTGATATTCCGGCATGGCTGTTCATATTGCTCATAAATATTATCACATTGTTGATGCAAAACCGTTGTACTCCGCAGATAAATGCTTGCCCGATTGGTTAGTCTTGCTTCTAGCAGATTTTCTTTTTGCAATCTTATCTTGATGTTGCATTTTGAGGTTGTTTTGTGTTTTTCTGTAAGTCAGAGATGACAGCAGACAATGTTCGTTCTCCATATATTTGGTATTTGTTACAATATATAATTATTTTCCACATGATTCTGATAAAGATAGAAGGAAGGTAAATGCATGAGTTGGCACCAAAAAAGCTAGAAAGTGAAAAAGAAAGGTGCATGGAACTTTGCAGTAGACTGTGTAAATTGTGTTCTATATGATACAGTCAAATACTGGAGTACCAAGGGAACCATGGCATGACCTACATTGTAAAGTTGAGGGTCCAGCTGCATACGATTTATTGACCAATTTTGAACAAAGATGGAGGAAAGCCAAAAAGTGGCGTGAATTCAAGCTAAAAAGGGTGGCAAATTGGCATGATGATGCTTTGCTAAGGTTAGACCGTATTTCATGGATTCTAACTCCATCATCTGGCGCCGCTGGCGACCAAGTTGTTCAGGTAACTGAAGAAGATGATTCGGAAAGCTGGAATGTGCAGGTATAGGGGAAATACGTTGATAGATTTCAGTGACATGTATCGTCCTTCTTTAAAATACCCTATAAATATTATGAACAACTATAAAATGCAGGTGTTTCGTTCCATAGATTCAGGATCTGTCAAGGGTTTTCCAAAGGATATGGACCAAGCTAAGGCTCAGGTGAGAACAAAATTGTAAATGTGAGGGAGACTTAAATAGTATGAGATGACTAAGTTCTACAATAAATAGTATGAGATGCTCAATAAGGTATTTAAGGTTGGTTCTCTCGTAGTTAGTTTTCGGAGGAGGGTTTATCGTTACATTTAAATAGCCATCAAAACAATGCTCACTTGGCCTATTAAGATATATAGAATAGAAAGGAAATGGTTCAAGATTAGAAAGAAAATAGTGATTTTAAGATAAAAATAACTCTCCCGCTCTTAATTTCAAATGGTAAAGAAATAGTTGACCTTTTTAAGTAATGAAAATAAAAACATGATAAATATTCTGCGATTAGGATGAAAAGGGATTTTCTTTCCATCTTCGTTACCAAATGTGCCCTAAGACCAATAATCTAATGCTTAGAAGTAGTAGATATTTTCAAGTAATGATAATAAAAAAAATTATAAATATTGTACAAATAGCATGAAAAGGGGTTTTCTTTCCATCTTTGTCCGAACCTGATTATCTTTAACTTAGCTAGGCAGTGTGCTTTTGCATGATATTGAAACAAACCAGTCTTGGTCTTCCACTTCTAATCCTGATTTTCTGCAGCATCTTCTCTGCGGAAAGAACTTAAAAGTAGACAAAAGTATCCATACCGCTTATGTAAAAGCAATTAGATCGGCCCAACACTTCATATATATAGAGAATCAATATTTTCTGGGATCCTCGTTTCATTGGCCTTCATATCAACATGCAGGTAATTCAAGGAAAACAGTAGTATCACAATTTTTAAAAAAATTCCTTTAGACTTTACATAATTATAGTTAATAAAATGAATTAACAGATTTGGTTTTGTGTAATTTGGTATTCTGTATTTCCGAATTAATAAATTTATATAAATTAGTCTCATTACCGATATTTCTGGGCTCTGGCCTTCTTGTCCTAAGATATTTGTATATTAGAAATGTAAAATGCGTCAGATTTAGCAGATACATCTTTGAATGTATTAAAAAGCTCGACACAGGAGTAAGGACGTGATGACAATAATACAAGCTAGAGTATGTAATTCGATAATAGCATTTTGAATAAATAGGAACCAATTTTTGTATTTTTATTGCTTACATTTAGTTGCCTAGCTTATTCCTCTTTTATATTTTTTTTTTTAAAAGGAAGGTGAAGAATTTTATTTGCTCAAAAGCACACACAACAATAAGTGGCACTACCCCCTATACCAAAAAAAAAAAAAAAAAAAATCCTCGCTTTCTTTTCTTTTACTTCCAAACTCACTAAATTAGGGAATCGTCAACAATTTGGAGGGAAATGCTCTCATATTTGTTGAAGTTCTTGTCCTTTTTTATTGTTCGTAATTATAATTTCAATTTATAAATTTGCATTTGTAAAACATGACTGTGGATTTTTTTAGGGTACATACCACGAAGGCAATTTTGTGCAAAGTACATGAATCAGATACAAGGAAGATATAAATACGTGAACAATTTGGCATTGATAGTCATTGGGCTAACTGGTCTTGACGGTATTGTGGGTGTATATATCGGGGGCCTAATAATTGAGAGGATAATTTTCTGAGAGTTGGGTGGAGTAACTAAGTATGTTATATCATAAATTAATGGTTTAAATTAGTGACTACTTTCAGTTTTAGTTTAACTTCTCACCTAAAATTACCCCTTTAATTTTTACCATGACACTTGTGTGAAAGTGTGACTTAACCTTGTGGGATAATGTTTGTTATTGTTGTGTTGTTGTATTGGTGTGAAAGTATCTTTGGGATAACTTGTTTTCCTCAACAGGTGCTGATAACTTGGTTCCAATAGAGTTAGCTTTGAAAATTGCCAACAAGATCAATGCAAATGAACGATTTTCCGTCTACATAGTCATACCAATGTTTCCAGAGGGGCCTCCAACTAGTAGTGCTGTGCAGGAAATCTTGTTCTGGCAGGTCAGGCCATATTCCAGTCTGTGTTCCTTTTTTGTTTAATTTCGCAACTTCTCAATTTGTTTACTTTTTAGTCTTGGGGCAAAAAAAAAAATCAAAGAGAACACTCCAGAAAATTGTTGAATGAGACCTCTATGTTAATAATATATCTAAAGACTTAGTTATTGATAAAGCATAATGGTGTTGTGCAATTTATGTAGCTGACCGCATTTAGTGAGACAAAGCTTGTTGTTGTTAGCTGCTTAAGCCAAATAGTCATCATAGGCTAACCATTTTTTCTTCTTGAACTTGTTATTAACGGTTGACCATCTATATTTGTGATGGGTGGGAATATATTATGATCTTTCATCTTATATCTGATGGTGGATTTACAAGTTCCTCTTTCTGATACCATAATCTGGAGCCAAATATTTATCAATTATCATTAAAATACTCAAGGTACAAAATTGAGTAGAATTTATCCAAATTTCTGATTTTCTTTTTTGGCTGATCAAAAAATTCCTCCCCAAGATGATAGGCATGCAGATGCAGTTCTCTTCTTTTTCTCTTCAAGTAGTTTGGGAATAATGAACTCACAAGTGCAAGGTTGAGTCTGGGATGTAATCTTTACTTTAAGAATGAATACATGTCAATGAGTTGTAAAGAGTTTTTGATTCTATACTGCATGCTTACTTCATCAAATTTACTCCCGTTTTTCTCACATTTGAATGACTACAGGGACAAACAATGTCTATGATGTACGGCATGATTGCAGATGCCCTTAAAAGAAACGGTCTTTCTGATCAATATCATCCTCAAGATTATCTCAACTTTTATTGCCTTGGAAAGCGTGAACCTGAATCCAGTACAAGTTCAATGGCTATGCAAACAGCTGACCGTGCTCTGGTATATGCCAGAGTATCCTTTATTTGCTAAATGTTTGTATTGCATGCAAATCACAAGTAGTTAATTCATTGCTGTGTTTTTCTTCTTCAGAAAAGTTGGTGAGTTTGAATATAGAAAATATGAACTTTTCATTGGCTTGAAATTTGATCTTTCAAAGAAAGCAGCTTTTATTGTCATTTTGCGCTGGCTTTATGTTATTAAACGTTGAGACCTAAGAAAGGAAAGCATAAGAAACCTTGCAAATTAAGGGAACATAGAAGACAGCGTTTAACCTTAGTGTCAGAGTTGCTATTTCTGGTTTGATCTTCATCTAGTTTTCAAATTTGCATTAGGTGTATGATGCAAAAAGATGAAATTTTTTTTTGAAATTATAGATATAAGGCACAACCTAAATTATAATATTAAACTAAAATGATGAAATATGTTCTTGTACGATAAGTTTAGTTTGACTTTTTAAGTGTTGTGGCCAGGATGTCAGATGTTCTTTGTTAGTTGTTATGTACTTGGATGTAAATAGGATATCTTTATGCAGTTGGATTGAATAGGATGCTCACCCATCAATGTTTAGATTAATACTGGAGACTAGAGACCGAGGGAGCACTAATCTTGCAAAGTAATATGGGAAATTAAAATTTGTTTTAGCTGTTACGTTTTAATAAAAATTATTTGCATTTTAATTGGTGAGCAGATAAGTCAGGCCAGATATTATCATACTTAAAAGGATATCCAAGTCAACTTAACCCCCAAATTGGTGGGTTAATTGGGCTTAATCTATTGGATTGGCTTGTTTTGACAGTTCTTAATGCCTGTGTCTGTTTAGAAGTGATTGAAGAAAAGCATGATTGCTAGCTTAGAGTTAGTTAATTATGAATCTCTATTTAATGAATTTACTTGATTGAATTATTTAACCTCTAAATGTTATACCTTTTGTCATCTTTCCTTCTGATTCTACCCTTCTCAGAGTCTGATACACATGTCAGATTGGCTATATCATAATAGCTCATATTTGTGTGCTTTTTTCTTGTTTCCTCATTCAGGCATCGGTTGGCAAATATAGACGTTTTATGATTTATGTTCATGCCAAAGGAATGATAGTTGATGATCAATTTGTAATCCTGGGATCTGCAAATATTAACCAAAGATCCTTGGATGGTTCAAGGGACACAGAAATTGCTATGGGTGCCTATCAGCCTCATTACACATGGGCTAGAAAATATTCTCATCCACATGGTCAGGTTAGAAGTTCCAACTCTACTTGTTGGTTAATGTACCAGAGCAGCAAAATTGGCTAATTTATATCTCAATTTAACCATGGAAGTAAATATATAACCTCATTCTTCTCGGATATTTATTCCAAAGTAATGGTTGTTTTACATCTATAAATCTCTGGTTCAATAATATGTTAAAAGTGGCATGGTTGGGACTCAAACCTGCAACCCTGTGATCCTATATAGAGAGAAGTTCTTGATAGATGTTTATTATCTATTAAATTAAATTCATTTGTAAAATATAAAATATATATTGAATTATTATTGGTGGTCAAACCAATAAACTGTGAATTAGTATCTTTATTGATAAATCAAGGGGATTGAGTGGAATTTGAGGGTGGGAAAATAGACTCAGCCTCTAAAATCAACTTGCATTGGTGCTAATTGCTGGAAATTTGAATTTTCCTAAAATTACAGTTGAAAGAAGAAGAAATCAAAGAAGACAACTATATTCAAATTTACAAAATTAAAACCGCAGGTGTGGCTTTCTAGCAGGAGGTCTTCGGTTGAAACTTCCACCAAGTTCTAAAATTGTCAATTATGAACAATAAACTACAATTACAAATAGTAATCAAGCGGATTGACATAAATACCATAATAGTACAATTATAATACAAGCACAACTTTGAATGATACCCTCTTGTAGGAAACAATGCTAGAAGTTATCCCATATTTTTGAATGCTTCGGTAGAAGACATGTACAGATTATGCAATTTCATCTCTTTATTCCTAATTATTTGTAGCGCTTGACAAAGTTTTTGTTTTTCCACAAACGTTTTACAGCAGATTTTGTGAATGTTTACACGGTAGATGAGTTAACATTTTGCACTTTCATCCTTTTGCTCTGTAATTATTGGGAGATCCACAAAGATTTTCGTTTGTGTAGGTTTATGGTTACAGGATGTCTCTCTGGGCTGAGCACCTCAACGGTCTTGAGGATACTTTCAAGGAACCGGACAGCCTCGAATGTGTTCGACGTGTTAATGTAATTGCCAAGAGCAACTGGGACGCATATGTGTCTGAGGAAGAGAAAGAGATGATGGGACACCTGATGCTGTACCCCGTTCAGATTGGCAATGATGGAAGAGTTAGTGCCTTGAAGGATTGGGAAAACTTCCCCGATGTTGGTGGTAAAATTCTTGGATCACCCAACTCTCTTCCTGATACACTAACCACATAATTTAGTTGTCACACTTTGACTACAAAGGAAATTGACAGGGGAAAGACAAAATTCAAATGAAATAGGTTTTAGGAACAAATTTCTTTAAAGTCCCGCTTTGTGTTGGAGGAAGGAATTCTCATTCTCTTGCTTTTTTGTAACATCTATTTGATATTTTTGTAATTACCAACTAACAAATTCTAGTTGTTTTTATTATTTTTGTTAAAGTAGGAATACAAGCATACAATTATCATATTTCATTGTTGACAACAACAAAAATCTTATCTTATTATGGGATCGGTTACAAGGATCACACAATAATATCATTATGCTCTGTCTAAGACCAATTCTTCTAATAAGCCATTAATTGAAAGATCTCAATTTACAACTTGTTTAAGTGTCCTTCTCAGTCTCCTTTTACCTCTTTTCATCAATTTATTTGCTCATTCTTCTTTATGGGTGTTTCCACCAATCTATTTTGCGCATAGCTAAACTATCTTAAATGATTTATTTTTTAACCATTTTCTCATCAATAAATGTCACACAGGCTTGTATGATCATTACATGTCTTATCCTTCTTAGCAAGTCAATTTGACCACATATTTATCTCAACATCTCCATCTCTACAACTATCATTTTTTGCTCATGTCATCACTTTGATGTCCAACATTCACTATCATATAGTATTACTAACCTTGCAGTGATTCTATAAAATTTTCCTAGGGACCTTGTGATCACAAAGATCTCTTGATGCCTTCTTCCATTTTATTCACCTTGTTTGTATCATATATATAACATCATCAACAATTTCATTGTTATTTTGTGCAACCGATCCCAAGTATTTAAATTTTGTGACTTGTAGTATAGTTTGTTCTTTGATATATATATATATATATATATATAGATCTTCAAATCATTTCTTCCTTGCTTCTTATTAAAATTGCAATACATGCATACTGTCCTATTCATATTCAAGCAAAAGCTCTTCAATTAGTACCCCTTAACTATTTTCGCCCAACATTCACCCTAGCATTATTGCTAATAATGATGATCCGATAATTATCTAATAGTTGGTCAAAATGATAGTTTGGTCTTTTACATGCATAAGAAATAATGTTTTTCTTTTAACATTTATTTGTAATTTAGCAGAATTATTCAGTATTAATTTTTTTATAAGATATTTATTTGAAAAATTTTACGTCTTTTTCCTAGAATTTTGACTTTTTTTTGTTATTTTTGTGTCCAACTAACCATCAAAGTTAATTATTATTTACGATAAAAGAAACATTTTATTGTCCAATGGGAACATTACATCACAAAAAATTTGAAGATGCCATTTGCTCTTTACTCAAATAATTTAGAGGAAAAATATCCTTTATATATATACATATATCCAGATGATTCTTTGGTTTCTCTTATAGTTAGCATTTTATTTTAGCTCTTTAAAAAATTACAAGAAGTAAGCAGTGTGACCATTTATTTTTCACTAAAAAATGACACAACTAGTGTAATGTCCTTTTTTATCATTCTTTTCTTTTTTTCCCCCTTGAATAACCATTTTTAAATGACCTGCCAATAGAAATATGACACTTGTTAGACGGTACTTGTGCTTACCCAAAGCACTTTCTCCCGAGGAAAGTATTAGTAGGCAGCTTGGAAATAACCAGAAGTCCACTTAGAAATACTTTTTAACCACCACCTGGAAACAAATTTTGAGCTTGATTGTTGAAAAACTTGTGTCTCACTATAAGCCTTTTCGTATATGAGCTGAAAATTATTTCAATCATTCATTTTTCTTAAGAATTAATATATACTCTTTCCTTTAAAAAATGTAAAGTATTTTTTAAAAAGTTAAATATTAAAAAATATAAAATATTTTTAATCTTTTGAAGTGTGATTATTATTTTTTTTAAATGTCCTTATTGATGAATGACTTTATATTATAGGGTATTTAATAGGAATAAATATGAAAATATAGAGTTAGTTTGAAAGTAAGTAACTATTTTATTGAAGATAATATTTGGTTAAAAATATTTTATATTTTTTAGCAGAAGAAGTAATATACGAAACATCAAACTAAGTTGAAGAATATTATCATTGGACTTGAATAGGAAGCCTGGTCGAAAATGTTTTTAACTAATCACTATTTTTAGTTGGATTGTCGTCTATTAAGTAGCTTGTTATAAAAATACTCATATATCAGCTAGAAATATCAAAAAGCCAATCGAAAATGTTTTTAATTTATAAAATGTCTGATGAAATGTAGACAGATATCCAAGTTGAAAAGTATATACCACTCATCCTAAGTCCAAAACAAACCTTTTATGTTTTCAAGTATTCAGTAAAGTCATGGATAAGATCTAAAAAATGATTTCATAACTATTGGAATGCACTTTTTCTTGCACCTATCCTATCTCTATTAGCTATCCTGAAAATTTTAAATAAAAAACTGCATGGATACCATTGAAAATGATATAGTTCATTTTATAGAAAGTGCAAAACAACCAAGCTTGACACATCCATTAGTCAAAGACCTGAAAACAGAAGATCAATAATGAAGGAAAATTTGTTAAAAATCGTCACTAATTTTTTAGGGTCAAATTAACGAATGAAATAAAACGAAATTATTTGGAGTAGCCCCCCAAGCCAAGATCAATGGTCACTAATCAACGGTGATTATTAGCCATAGACTTGCAACTTAGAGAGCAAGACAAGGAAGCTTCCAAGCAAGAAGAGTGGCTTGTCAAGCAAAGCTCATTTCCATCTATAAATAATGCACATGGCTAGTCACTTTGTACGTCAAGTGGTGATTGAGAAAAAGAGGAAGAAGGAGTAGCATGTGAGAAAGAGAACGAAGAAAGTTTGGGCCTATTTAAAATTATTTTTATTTTATTATTTTAAAAACTGCTATGTTATAAAACATGTCATGAGAAATAAAAATAAAAATAAAAATAAATATTTTTCTAATCTTCCCTTATTGTCCCAAACAATAATTTCAAAATATTTAAAAAATGCTTCCGTTTTGCTATTTTATAGAATAATAATTTTTTTTTATTCTCTAAAATACTTTTTGAAAACATATTACCAAATAATTTTTTTTTTGGTTTTGGAGATCAAAAATTGTTCTCAAAATAAGTTATCAAACAAGTCTTTCGTAATTTGGTGTATTTTTTATTTTGAGTTTGCAATAAAATTTTCTCTTTCCTTTAAGTCTCTCTTCTCATTTTTTTCAAGTATCTTGAGTCTTTTCTATTCATAAATCCTACAAGATATCCTTACATGGTTACTATATTCTTATATCATCTGGGCTACTATTGTTGTGCAACTTTTGTTGCCACTCCTCCATCATGCCGGTCCTACAATCAAAATGTTTTAAATTTCAAAACTGAGGTTTAAGTTCACACATCACACACACACTCACCTATGAGTTAGACATCAAGAAAGCTCACTGAAAGCATATTCTAATCCAAGTTTTTACGCTAAATCTTTTTTTTTTCTTTTTTATGCTACAACTCTTCCAATATAGTATATTTTAAAAGGAGAATGACCAGAAATTTCTAAGATTACTTTTCAATTTCAGTGAGTCTTAAGAGATTTTAAAATCTTAATTAAGTCCCAGACGTTCTTTGGTAATTTGAGGTTTGAGATCAAGGAGGATGTGCATGTTTAGGACAAATACTGTTGTGTTTTCTGTCAATAGTCTTTTTCTCGTTTCTTTTTCTTAACTCATCACCGTCATTGAAAGGATTCTCTGCTGAGCAAGACCGATAGGTTAAGGTTTCAATCCAAGCTACGACTAAGAAATTGACATCATGAACAACCTTGACATCACATTTGCAACAGTGAAACGCAAAATCAGTCATAAATCCTTCACTTTATTTTGATGGATAAAACCAAATCAATTATAAATCAAACTGCCAATAATGATATACTCTAAATAGAAATAGATATTGACATCCCATGGCAAATTTGCATATTCACTTTGCATCTTCTCTCATCTCTCATTTTTGCCTCATCAGTTGAAGAATGGAGGGAAGATTGTCACTCTCAATCAGCCATTTTCATTTCGAATATCAGCTTGTCTCACTTTTTCTTTTTGAATTTTTTTAAACTATCTAAACAAAAGATTTTAAACACATAAATTTTAAATATAATATTTTAAATATGAGATTTAAAATCTATAATTTAAACTTAAATCCATCTATCCAAATATCACCTTATTGTATTTGATAGAATGCATTAAGATGAGAATCACCATGCAAATTTTAGTATATAATGTGATGTCAAGAGAAAGTTCTCAAATGATATTGTATTGTACACTGCTATTATATGCTGAATCATGAATGCATGATGTGTCCCGATTTAGTTTTAAAACAAGAAAAAAAGAAAAGAAAAGTACAATTAGGCTCTATTTAACTTTATTTTAAAATTAAAATTCTTAGTAGATTAAACATTAGCCTACATTGAGAGTATCTCATTCTAATTGATCAATGAAGTCTTTGACTTAATTCTTAATAGTCAAAGTTTAATTAATATCAGAGATAGTATCTCATTTTCGTTATAGTATCTCATTCTTGACATGTTTGGAGCCTTTAAAAGGGTAAGAACCAAATACTATTCAAAGACAATTTGATCTCACATATCAATCTCAATTTGAAATTCTCAAGTTCACCAACATGATTCAAGAAAGCTTGAAGAAGGTAGAGCTGATCTTGAGAGCCTATTTGAGTATATCATTTTTAACTTTTGAGAAGTTCTTCCCTACTTGTAAAACGTGGGATGTTATTTAAAAAATTTATAATTGGTTAAATTGATTTTTTAAATGCACATTCAAGAAGTAATTGAAAGTAAATTTGAGAACTTGCCAATGAGAATTTTTTTTTTTTTTGGTTTTTTGTGGAAACATTGGGGATATCAACATTTGCAATTAGGGTGACCCAATCCAATCACAATGGGATAACACACGTGGCATATGAATCATGATAGGTAAATAAAAAGGTTTAAGTTGCATCAGTCAACACTGACTTTATTTTATAATATTGTTTTTAAATAAAAATTGCATTTAAAAAATGTTATGCTACGAAGAATTATTATTGTCTTGAAAGAAGAATAACTTTGGATGGGGAGGAGACACTTTTAATTACTTTTTTTTTTTTTGAGGAATTTGACTAAGAAATGTTAGGCCAATATAAGTGTTTTTTTTTTAAAAAAAAAAAAAGGTCAAAGATAAGGGTAAAAATAAGTCAAGCTCCCATTAGAGATTTACTATCTGACCTACTTCAAGTTTAATTTAGCCTATTTATTAAATAAAATCATGTTAGATTTAGGCTTTTGATTAGGCCTATGGGGCATATTTTTACAAAACCTAGCCTACAGGCCTATTAGATTAGCTTATTTACA